TGAGTATGGGTTGAACTAAGCGCTATATCGGTACGACGAGGAGTAGCACACATAGCAAGCTGAAAACAGTTATGGAGAAGTCGAGAGGTAGCGAAATGTCAACAAAGGTCATATGGTCATCTTGCGATTTCTGTGAAGAAGTTTCATTTCATTTCAGTTTCATTTTTCATTTTTGCAGAAAGGAGTTGAGTGAATTTGAGGAAAAGAATGGAATAGGAAAGACAGGGGAAATAGGAACGAGATGAAATAGGACTAGTGAACATTCCACTTTACTGATTGTGGTAAGAATAGTAACATTTTTGCCACTGTTTCTTGAATAATGAAAACAAATCTCAGTGACACTGAGGGAAACAAATGGTAAACATTAATATTGTAAAGTTCCAAATTTTCCTGACGTTTCTCTGAAAGCGTAAGTAAGTGTGTGTGTACATGTGAGTAAAATATTAGTCAAAATGTGACTGCCCTCATTTTCCTTCACAAAGGGGTAGTTTCTCGAATTATTGAATTCTGGAGTCCCTCTATGATGAAAACTTCATCTGTCCAGAGAGCGAGCACTCGGGGAACGCCAAGACTAGGTTGTGACATGGTTAATTCACAGTTAGAAGATGGAACGCAGCGAAATCCCATTCAATTCTAAGGGCAAATAGGCACCATTTCGTAGACACAGACCCAGTTCAGTGAAACTATCCTGAAATAAATTTACGTGATTGTTATGACTGGTCAAGAAGATTAATTTATAATAAAATTGAGAGATGGCCCATGAAATTCTCAAGTGAACCCATGAAGTGTAACTTTTCATTTGTCGCGCTACCACTTTTACCGTACCCGAGTCATGCTATGTAGCTATTGGTTGCTGTTTCGCCATGCGAAAATAAAGGCGCCAACAATAGCGCCGACTGAGCAACAACGCTTTTTCTGAGCCCATCTGCAGTTCGCAGTGGTTCAGCAAAGCAGGTGAAAGCAGCTTCTTTTCGAACAAATCTTAAATTCAAACAACTATGAGCTCGTTTAGATGAGATTATTTACAATTGAACATTTTAAGATACATAGATGGGCGCTCCTTTTCTCTATAGCAGCTAGAACTTATTGTTTTGTGGCTTATATGGGTTCGTTACAAGGGCCGAACGAATTTACAAGGGCCA